TCTTATCACGGAGTGGGCCTAGGACCACTGCATTATTATATGAAATGGTGCAACCCAAATCGTGCACGTGGCTTTTGATCTGGAATACGAACTTGGGGTCCATGAGCAGGGCAGAGGCCTCTTTCCAGAAAGTTTGGAATTGTTCTGTTGTGGCCCAGCACCAAGACTTTTTAAAATCGATCTGCATCTTAAGGCTTGTTATGAGATTGAGGATTGTTGTCATAGCGGAAAAACATGCCCGGTCTGATGTGGACATGAAACTCCAGTTATCCGCATATGCATAGGGGAAGAGTCGTGGTGAGCGGAGCTTCGAGTAGAAAACAAAACTGAGGGCAAGCATGCCTACAACTGACATCGAGTCACCCTCGGGAAGGCCCGTTGTCGTGCGGTGAGCCGGCCCCATGAGTGCACGTGTAAGTCGAGTGAGTGATTTAAACCAAAAATCTGTAACGTACGACGGAATACCGAGGAGCTTGAAGATATGACTAACGACCTTCCGGGGTATCAGGTTAAATGCTTTAACGAGGTCCATTGTCCATCCTCCCCAAGCTGTATGATGTGCCTTAGCGTGTTCGATCTGCAGTTGTTGCATAAGTGAGAGATCTCTTGCAGATCGACGAGGCAAACCTCCGCTAATTTCGGGTGGCCACAAAGTGGCCCACTGGCTTAAAATCTGGTCAGAAATCATTTTAGAACATAGCCGGGCCAAATACCCGAGAATGGTAATAGGCCTACCATCAGCGATTGATGTAGGGTTGTCTCTTTTTGCGAAAAGCAATGTCCTGGCTTGCATAAAACGTTGTGTAAGGCCGAAGTGCCAGACATTGCGTATGAGTGTCGAAAGGTCTTGAACCATTGTCCAAGTGAGTGATTGCAATTCTTCAGAGTGCCACCCGTCTGCCCCAGCTGCCTTATATGGCTTAAGGCGCTTAATGGAATCCCAAAGGCAGGTTGGGCTGTCGAAATGAATATCCAGAAAAGGTTGTAGTGGAATGGTGGCATCTAAGTCTTCAAGAAAATCAGACCATGGATCTTCTTCCGTCTGTTCAGTCATCGTGTCCCGTAACCAAAATTGGGACCAGTACTTATGGAAACATGATGACATTTCATCTATGGTGTATGCATGAGTCGAGAACTGGATCATAGCTTTCGCTGGAATTGTGCCTTTTACTTGATCAATTGTGAGCATTGGTGGCTCACATGTGTGTACAATGGCGGAACAGCTTCCAAACATAATTTGGGCACCTGTTGGGATTATGATCGGTGTGGCCATACGGAGTCTGGGGAGGTTATGTTTGGCTCCACACAAAGTTGCCTCCGTAGCATGAGTGACCGGTAGGTCATTTAGAAAACGTTGTTCTTTTCCTTTCAGGAATTTATAAATTGCTGCATTGTTGGTGTGGGATTGCGAAAAGGAAATACAGTGGTGTTTATGGTGCCTACGAATCTGTGCTTCCTGGCGAGCACATGCATCAGCGTCGAGCCTGGTTATCTGGATGGCATCCCCTAGCCAATCCGGCGTGGGTGGTTCCAAGGGGACAAAACGAATGCATTCAAAAGCCAGGATCCATGTTTCCCACGCGCGGCCGTAACCCTGGGCACATCTAATGGCTTCCCATTCTTGTCGGATTTGTGCATGGAATGTTGATGGGTTATGAGACTTCTGTGAGTGGTGGATCTGGCGGAGAAGGGAAACCAGCCGTCTAGTCTGCCGTGCCTTATGTTTAGCCTTGGTTGATGTAGCCTCAACTGGAGGGTCATATGCATGTGTGGGGTCGTTCTTGACAGTGCGCGGTGATATGTGGGTAACCAACTTTGTTGGTGCTCCCCTTCCAAAAAACTTCTGTGGGAGGCATGGTCTTGGCGTACGTAATGGATCTTGCTCATGCTGTATCTGAACGCATTTCTGCACTGCATTTTCGACGCCCTTGGACCAGCGGTGGAATGCGCGATTGATCTTTTCCTCTGGATTGTAAAACCTCTTCACGCTTGGGGAGTATTTTCATCAAGATTAAACCTCTTCACGCTTGGGGAGTATTTTCATCAAGATTCTACATTCAACTGCACAATCTAGGGCCTAATAGCTCACAGCATGATTCTGGCACGCATTCATGTTGGGTTGCTCCAAATGCAAAGGAGCTGGTTGTCGAACTCCCCTGGCCCCTTCGCCCAAAGGCCAAGCAATCTTCAAGAGATCAATATTTCTTTGGAACATAAAGGCTGCTCACTGATTAAAGAACTCATTCTTCCTTGACACATTAATGCAAATGCCAATCGACAGAGACAAAGGCTGTAGGAAGCGGCAAAACTTTCTCTACCAGCAAGGTACGTGCGTTGTATGGGTTGCTGCACTAGAGCTATATGCTACAATGATATAGTAATGTAAGAAACAACAACCACAACGACAGCGCACCCACCTCATGACCATCATAACATATCATAACTTGATGACCGCCTGATGACCGCTTAAGCGACCCAAGGGGCGTCCTCCTCAAACAACGTCCGCCTCCAACGTTGCAAGCAGAAGTGCGCTTTCCACGCCAATGAGCCCCACTTAGTCACTTGTGAGAGCCGGCTACCCCTTCGTCAATGCGAAAATCCTTCTTCACTGCAGTGGAGGAAAAGGAATTGAAGGAGTGACAACTTTCTCTGGGCCCCCCGTTGGCCGGTTGCCCACGTCAGGTCGTCTGGTGTTGAAGCAACAAAGGCACCCGCTCCATCCATCGAGCCTTCGACCTAGACCCCTGAACCATCCCAATGTAGACAGCCGATCGCATGGAGCGATTGCACTCGGTTCTTTTATACCCTGTCTCAGACCCTCCAGGGTCGAAGGTAGGTGCCGACGTGGCGAGTGACCCGGGCCCATCTGCGCAGTTCTTCGGACCTCGTCTTCTTTCGGGACAAGCGTCGTGGTTAACACAACAGCCATGGCTTCGTTGCTCTGATGTTTCATCCTTGGAAACTGTACGTGATGGCATCACCACCTGCAGGCTATGTAAGCAAGCTGGTTGCCTCCGTTCAGGTCAACACCCTGAAAGATGCTTTGAAGCCATGCAAATGCAGGATCTGAAGCGATGCAACTAATCAAAATATTTCAGCAATCCCATGGCTGCCAAGCACAGCCTGCTCAGCACCTCCTTTGTCAGATCGATCTGATTGAGTTGCTGAGGCAGTGCCGTTGAAGCCCGCAAGCCACTAAGACATGACGAGCGCAGGCAAAGATCGCCCTTGAGGCTTGCTGCTGATGAGCTTTGAGGTGTGCTTATGTTTGACCGATTCGCAGAAGCAACTTGGGGGTCCTATTGTTTTCTAATCTTGTTCTATCCATCCTTCTCTCATCACCCGTCCTCGCACTCCGTCTCAGCCGTTTCACCATGTTTCACCTAATACGGTCTACGAAGCGGTGAAGCAGCAGCAAACGAGTGATGATTGATGATACCATGATCATACCGAGAGGACCATGGAGAAGCTTCTGCGTGCCTGAGGTAAGCTGAAGAAGAGCAAATGCTCAGTCTAAATCCATAATGTTGAAGAAACATAAACCACATACAAAAATCATAGAAGCCGACTCTCGATTCATAAAGCCTGATGTATTACATGTTGTTCCGTATATCTCTTAGAACTTAGAACACATGAGGCGGCTCATGCTCACTTAGTTGTCTATTTGGCACGTCCCATTTCCAGGATGCTTTGGACACGAGCCCGAATCCTTGCCTTGATACTGTGATAGTGCCACGATCGACCACCTCCAACAGAGCCGCAGAGCCTCGAGTTTGCAAAACAAAAACTCCGCGAAACGAGCATTCAGACAGGGCCGGCGGAAGAAAGAAGTGCTTCTCAGGTGGTCAAGATCCTCCACAGAAAAAAGGCTGAGTACTCAATGACAAGTAAAGGTGTGCACTTCTTTGCTCCATCCACTTCAGAGTGATTTTGCCTAAGCCCACTGGTTCGCAGGCATGTTGTGGGGTCCTGTTCTTGCTTTGGAATGGAATCCTCCTTTAGTTATATGACCTTTATAAAATGGGGATCCAGTTCCACTACAACAGACTGTGGGTTACCGAGGGGTACCAAGGGCCAGTTCATAGACATGTGCACATACTTCGGAACACTATTTGGCAAGGCATTTTGTTAAAAACAAAAAAAAAATACCATGGGTGCAGGTAGATTCAGGATGTGAGCGCTTCTTGGACCTTTCAAGCACGAAGGGTTACTTTATACCACATGGAAAACAGATTGCAAAGTCCTGGATCGTCATGGTGACTATAGCCATTCCTCAGAGCTTGGCAGAGTCATTTCATATGCCGGCTGGATTTGAGCATGTTTAACCACAAGTATCTTAGTTCTTCCATGTTCTTCCAGGTTTGGTGATGAATTTCATACAACTCCTGGTAGTTGGGCCTTTGCTGCCTAGCTTGAGCCTAGCTTTTCTGAACTTTTCTGTGATGCAGGTTAGCCCATTTCATGATGTCATTTTGCTGGTAAGTATGTTCCTTTTATACCAAGATATATAACCTAATGTTTCTTTTGGCGTGTTATTTATTACGTGCAGAATTCGTTGGCGTCGTAGGCCAATACTTAAGGGGTACGGGAGGATGCTGCGGAGGCTGAGTGCCTTTTGCGTCTAGGGCTTGTATTTAAGTAAGGCAAGTCTTAAACTTAGGTGTGTTGAAATTTTGACAGGTGTTCTTGTACACCCAAAACAGGTGTGAAGGTCAAAGGGTTGATTGATTTCTACTTAAAACCCCCAACGAGAGTGGAGAAGGGACACTATACGCTTCCATGATGCCGCCCAGGTGCATGGTACATGTGTCTCAGGATCATGATCAGGACTTTTTGCTGGGGCTGGAACTGTCAAATCATATCTTGGACAGATGGAAAAACATGTTGTTCTTTTGGCGCTCACTTCTCATCTTTTTTCCCTCCCATGAGTAAGTCTCCTTGTGTTTCCCTGGGTTTCTGAAGTGGAGCACCGCACCGCTCGTAAAGCGCCGCTGCCCCGCAGCTTCCGCTTTGGCTTCGCACGATGCTGCTCGCGCACGCGCCGTCCGGTGGACGCCGCACTCCGCCGCCGCCCGGTCTCGTCACCAGTGTGGTCAGTGCCCTGCGAGAGACTTGGCGAGACAGGGAGGCGACGGAGACCCGGAGGCGGGTGGAGGGTAGATGGCAATACCTTGGGTTTGTCCTATGAATTACCTGCAACAGTCAGTAAACACCATATTGGAAAAAGGCGGCTCGAAACCTCTTATGCCCCAACTGGATCTGGTGACCTGAGCTCCAGGGGTGCTTTCTGAGCTCCAGGGGTGCTCCAATGAGTTGTCACATTGTTGTATAAGAAAAGAACAGCAGAGTACACAACATCCAATGACCAAGTTTGATCAACTTCTTCCGCATCTATCCTGTTCAAGGTCCACACTTGTTTCTTCAGATCTTCGACATCTCCGGCCTGGCTTTTTGCTGCGCAAAAGTGGGGAGACTGCTGCGGGGCACCAACCGCCATTCAAGGCATTCATCAGAGCCTAAGCCTTCAGGTTTGGGGTTGACTGTGGTGCGAATCTTTAGAGCTAAGGCTATGGCCATAGCGCGACTTGCGAATCCGTCCAAGCCAAAGCTCATGTTGAGCAGTGGACCTATGGCCATAGAAACCAGACAACCCTTGGACCACTTTCCCATCCAAAGCGTCGCCAGACCTCGACCTCTCAAGTCGCCAGACCTCGACCTTGGCTATGACCATTCATGACCATTGCCCAATGGCTCCATGTCTCTTCAGCTTCCCTCAAGTCCCCCGGTGCATGACAATCGCAAGATTCACCCTTCCCACTATCACAAGATGCACCTTTTTGCCCCGCTATAGCCGCTATCGGCTTCGCTTCCGCTTCATCAGACCTCCCAAACCGACCGCGACCTGTGAGGCACCCTCCAACCACCCGGCCGCCGCAGCGGCCGCGCACGCGGCCGCGCCTGGTCCGCTGCACCGAGCCCTTTGGCGCTCGGCCGAGCCGGAGGCCGTGACACGCCGAGGGCCGCCCAGCACATCGGGCACACCGCCCCTTCCTCCAGGCGCGGTGCGCGGAGGTCGCGGACGTTTCCGCGCGGGTGCGCCAGCAGGGGGAGAAAGACCGAGGGAAAGGGGGTGGGCAAGCGAAGAGCAAGGCCAAGCGACCCTTCAATTGAGAGATATTAAGAGGTTCAGTTGTTTTTTTGGCTAGCGTGCCGACCATGCATGGGTTTGGGGTAACTTTTCGGATCTCCATATTGCACGAGCTCAGCATCCACGTATTATAACTCTGATCTCGAACTTGTCTTGGCCAGATGGACCCAGAGATGGACCGTCCAACCAGTCGTTCACCATCCTTTTACACGACCCCGTTAGTTGTTTCGGGTCCATGAACAGGGGGTCGTTCTTGTGAAACCTGTCGTTTGGACTCCAACCTTCGGTGTTCCAACAGAAAGCCCTTGGACCACCGGGCGCCGCCAGGCCTCTTACCACCCAGCGGCTCGCGCAGCAGTACCGAGACCCAAGCGCCCGAGCGGCCGCCGGTGGTGCGCTTTGCGAGCGCACCACAGGTGGTGCGACAGCAGTTGCAGGAGGGACTGCCAGTCGCAGGCTGAGTTGTAGTATGATGGTGAGTTCTGATTTATATATGGCACTGGAGGTTAGGTTGTTTGGTTGGGAGGGCGGTACGGAACACCGTCCTCCCAAATGCTATGCATGCCATGCGTTCATGCGATGGTTTAGATGGTTTCTTCACGAACTACCAGCAGTTCCATGTCGGAGGATCAGGATGTGCCCCTGTCACATCCACTCACTGGATGGGACTAAGCACCCCGACAGGTCACCCATGGAATCTTCACTGTTGGAGCTTTTGACGACTGTAGTCCTGCTGCATACGAACCAAACCCCTGGCTCACATCCGACTTGCTGATGAACAGATCCAATTGCACTCATAAGCTTGTGGCAGTGAGCCTGGGGCTTTGTGGCAACAGAAGTGCTGCCATCCACCATGACATGCGCACCTAGGGGCTTCAGAGAAGTGACTGGCAAATCTGTGTGTATTTGTGTGTGTGTGTGAGTGTCTTTGGTGTGTGAGCTCATGAGCGCCATTCGTCCGAGAACCAAATCCTCTCAGTGATCTCCCTTTGCAGTAAGCAAGACCAGCTGAGCGCGGGGCATCCGAAGACACTCAAGCCCAACTAGGTGTCGTCCACTTCCAATGAGCTGGAAAAAAGAACACATCACCAGAGGTCACATGGATATCGAAGCACCACAAGAAAACTCATGCCAAACAAACAAGAACAAGAACAAGATTGTGGGCATGAGTTTTACCTACCGAATCTTCAGGTAAACTCATGCCCACAATAGATTCTATCCGTGGCCCGTGTTTTTTCGTCATGATTTGACACAGCCTTACTGGGGGGAATTTCCTGTTCGATGACTTCATGCTCCGTTACTGACTGGATTTTGTCCGTGACTTGGGTCGGCAATAACTGCCATAATCGCCAGGCCGGCAGGCATATTTGAGGGTATTGGTGGCGGTGTTCATTCTTCAGGAAGCTGAAGAGATGAAGCAGTCTAATTTACCTACCTACACTCTATCCGGGCTTCGTATTCTTTTGGGGGGGAAAGCTTATAAAAGCCTTTGAACGGAGTATGTACGAACTTCTCAAGATGTAAACGCCTTGGAATCCCTATATAGTCCACGATATAGTTTGTTCATGTTCAGTGGTTTGACCTTCCCAGCGGTCCCCGCCATGTGACACGTCCAGACCCGTCCGGCTGTCAGGAGTATGTGGCGCAGAGGGTGGCGAATGGATCTGCCATGGATCACTTGCCTGGAGAGCCGGCCGAACAGTTGCCACTTCGGAGGGAACGGTGGCATGGAACCGCTGAAGGGCTTTTTTCAAGAGGGATGTTACAACGGCGGTTTACTCAACTATGGATTGGTTTGAGGCAATAATACCGTTACCTGCCAGAAACCATGGTTGTCTCTCCACAACATTCCACTATGGATGTCCTCTCGCTTATTCCCTTAAAACCCTCTTAAAGCAATGGTGCAGTACACGTCATGTTCCTCCATGTGGGAAACCGGTGGAAACCGGTGGAAAACCACAAACCACGATCTTCCAGACACAGTGACTGAGGGAGACGCACTCGTGGTGTTTCTTCCAGACCGCCCAACGACCGGTCGTGCGAGTGGACGATCCGACCGGACCGAGGAGCGAGGGTAGGATCGATGGCACATCCCGGTCGATGGCACATCGCATGCGTTTGAAAAGAAATGGATGAGTTGATTCCAAGAACATATGGTTTCAGATGTTTCAGGGTGACAAGTACAAAGACACCTGCTGAACAAGCAGGATGTGCCATATAAACCATCGACATGGGGGATTGTGCCATCAACTTTTTGACATAAGCACTTGAATTACTGGTGCGCATACAGTCATGATACATGAAAACGGTCACCAGACGGGTGTGAGTTCACAGTCCGTGAGCAAATCCACCAAACGATCCATCAAAGTTGTGGCACTGCGAAAGGCCTTTCACCCCCTTGCATTTTACAAGAGTTTTCAGCCGGAATTCATTGCATCACCACAATGTACCGCGGATTGGTGGTGTTGGAATTGCGTCTGAAAGATGAGTGTGTTGCTTCGCTCAGACGAAGCTAAGTTCTTGCAGCAGCACAGCGCTCCAGCAGCAGCTGAGGTCGGGTCTCTTGGCCTTAACACCTGGAAGCGTCTCGCGAGAAGAAGGCTACAGCGCCTCGGCACGCGCGTGGCGTTTTCATCTTGTGGGGAGCTCGTGTTCACAAGGTCGGTACTAAAGATGAGGACGGAATGCGGTTCTGCATGGTGTTGTACAGCCAGATCAACAAAAATCCGTGCCGTGCCATGCCGTAGATTGTCCGGATTCATTATGAATGATTGGGTTGATGGAAGAAACCTGAAGCATCCTTTGTAACACTTATTTCTGGCGAACCATGGTTTGGAGCACTTATTGGAAGTTTGAGCGTTAATTGAGGGTATGTACGCTTTTCAGGACATATGAGCGCTTTTTGGTGTTGTAAATTCTAAAGCCTACTGGTTCCTGACCAGTGTCCTTATCAACCCTTGTGGGCCTTTGGGGGCCCTATGGGCCGGGTGGAAATCCTATATGACCTCTCCTAGTATGTGCAAATGAAACCACAAAGGTTTGGTTCTAACCTTCTTGGTGCTTTAACAACAATTTTTCCAAAAAGGGTGCCCGCAACTTGGGCCCAAATTCCCGCAACCCGGCCGCAATTTTAAAAAAGTGGCAGATGTGTTTTTTACTTAAATCTTTTGTGTTGATACTGAAGATCAACTAAAGGGGTTGCTTGCTGCCGCTTCGTAGTGTGTGAGCGTGTGTTGTGTGTGCATGGGATGGGTGCCAGCATGTGGCAGGGGAATGGACTTGAAGACCACATAAGGTGGAATGAACCTACATCTGACTTTCCAGTGGTACGCTGCGGTACGCTTTTTCAAGGCATGAATGCTTTTTTTGATGATGTACAGTACAGTCTTTTTTCTGTCACTTTTTTCTGCTACGACGGAGGGTTCAGGAACCTTTGGTTGGACGCACACTGGAGCCACTCAAAGATGAGTATAATTACAGACTCCGGGTGTCACAGCTTTTGGCTCTCAATTGTTGAAATCGGTGACACCCGGTTCATCTCCACCTGCTCACGTCGTCTACTGCGAGATAGCGGTCCACATCACCCCTTGCAGGGTCAGAGGCCGTATGACGGGTGCTCAGAAAATCTATATAAGAAACAAGGAAATGGGGGCCCATGGCCAACCTTTCCCCACCAAGAAGTGTTGGATAGCTTTGGTTTGAGCATTTTACAAGTTGAGATGATGCCTGAGTGATGGGTGGACCGATTGACCGTACTTTTGTCGGAATGAATGGCAGAGGCTAACATTTTCACGCGCTCCCCTAGGCGCACCACGCCGCGAAAACGTCATGTGCGTTGCGCGTTTTCAGAGGTGAACGTTCTTGACCTAAAGAGCACGGGCCTTTTGACCAAGATGGCCATTGGAGTGGCCTCCTGCGTGTCCCGTTCCCCTTCCTTTTGGCCCACAACAGTTTGGCGCCACGTCTTCGCTGATGACTCTTGATGACTAACCCCCCACCCATGTGGCATCTGTAAAACCTCTTCACCGCTTCAGGGGGGCAGATTTATAGGGCTTTTCATAGCTCGGCTCGCATGAGTCTGGCGCACATGAAGCTGTGGGGTGCCAGACCGGATCCGCGCGTGGAAACCGTTCGAATCGACCGCGTTCGATGAGGCGAGCTGCTGGACGTCTTAGGCGCGATCAGTGCAGCGGCGCGCCGTCAGACCTTAGAGCATCAGCATCAACTTCAACAGGCCGCGCCGGCGCCTTCCTCGTTCGGTCTCTGTGTATAGGGCATAGGGGGGTGTCAAAGCGGCTGTTGTTGGTGAATGCCCGATGTTGGTGGGTGTGTAGACATAAGATATGCCTGGGAATCCAGGACCCCACGACCACTTGAGGGGTTGTGGCACCATTTGGCTCAGTTGTTGTCATTGAATCATGAGAGACATCTCTTGACATCTATGAACGTTGTTGTCCCAAATCTTCCATCCAGAAATTATAACCAGCCATAGTCCATGTGCAATGTGATGTTCCAGAACTGTTATATTTCCATATGTTTCGCTTGGTAGCCATGAGCATGGTTGAGACCCAGCACATCAGCTCAATTGGGAACAGTGTTCAAGTGATATAGATGTCATGGCCTATAGTTTGAATTTGGCACCATCGATGGCCTTGCGGAGAGAAAAACCGTGACATCGGGAATGGATCGAACTCCACCTACTCCAGGGGTGATTTTTGAAAACCCGCAACAAGCACAGAAACTGCCAGAAGAGGGAAGGTCATTGTCCACCAGTGTGTTTTGATTGGGATGATGATTGGGATGATGATTGGGGTGCCCTACTCGTTGGTTTCTTTGGGCTGGAGGGGCCACTCCAAAGAGTCAACACACCAAATGTTTCACTTGGTATCCCACAGCTGAAGGGTGTTGCGGCCCGGGGCAAAGTTTCTTTAAGTGATGCCAGAAGTACACACTTTGCAAAGTCACCTGAACAATTGCTGAGCCAGTTGAGTTCGACTGTGTTTTGCTCACTGAAGTTTTTTTACATGTTTTTTCGGCCACCTAAGAACCATGTTAAACTCGCCGACTGAACTCCCGGGAGTAAGGTCGAAGTGCCTCCGTAGACCGATCAAATCCGTCCGCCGCAGATCAGGAAATGCAAGGTCTAAGAGTCTGAAGGCGGCCCCAGTGAGTCAGCTCTGCAACGCTCCCCCCTATGCACAGATGGAAGTGGAGAAGCACTCCCTAGGAATCCACGTACCGAACCTCAGGTACGGTGAGGACGGAGACGATTGATGTAGGTGCCAGGAGGGTCCAGTCGTACCGAACCTGAGGTTCGGTACGACTGGATCCCTAGGGACGGTTTTTCTATAGCACACAGATCGACTTTCTAATCCAGCAGAGGCTCTAGGGATGATAGCCTCCAACTGGCAGAACATCCACGGTGATTTGGTGATTAGCCAGCCCTCAAAGGCCTACCAGTGGGAACCTCAGTGGAATGAGCCTCCAAGTCCAGATGAACACATCAAGGTGATTCACCAAGACTGCCAGATACTCAGCCGCTTGTGGGAAGATACATGCCATTTTTCATAAATTAAATGTTTTTAGTCTAAAGTTTACTTAGAACTTAGTACATACTTAGTACATCTCAGTACTCAGTACTACAGTACTATGTCTACCTTGAGTCTCCAAAGACAGTTTTTTTCTGCATTATTGTTTTGGGTCTAATAATATGTTTGCGTATTCGCTCGAAAAAAACGCATTTTCAGAGATGAGGACTCAAAAAAAGGTACAGAGTGAATCCTCATCCGGACGCGTCCGGTGCGGACGCTTAAAGACGCCTTTTGGACGCAAAAAGACGCGTTTTGGACGCCGAAAAAAGGTATCAGGACACTGTCTAAGGCGAGTCTAAGGAGGATCTGACAGGGCACAAACAAAAAAGGAACATTTCGTGACATATGCAAAAAAGAGTGCTTTCTTTCAAACACATTTTTCTTGGAAAGGCAAAATAAAAGGGTCGTTGGAGACACTATTTTGTACTCATTTGGGTGAGTACCTTATGTTAAGGAACCTCAACCAGCACCCGTCCACCGGCCTCGCCATCACCTGCCCTTCCTTCCTTCGTCGCGCCAGGAACGTTTGCTGGCCGCGGAGCGCCTGGGCTTCTTCGAGTCTCAAGCGCAGGAGATGCGCGACGAGCTGGCGGGGCTGAAGAAAGAGCTCAAGGCGCGCGCGGGAACCGCGGCGCCGTCCGGGACGACTCGGAGGCTCGGCCCTCGTTGGAGTGCTCTGTGCCTTTGGGACGATGGGAGGGTCAGTTGAGGTGCTTTTGGGAGGGTTCGAGTTGTCTCATGAGGAGACGGTCGCAAGCGGCCACTTGGCCTACTGAGGAATTGTGTGCCTTTCATCGTGCTTTGCGGGCTTCAAACGTTGTGCAAGAATCCTGCCCTTTGGATCCTTTGGCTCATCCTGGGTTGATGTGTGGGGGGGGTGCTGTTGCAGTTACTGTAACTTTGCTTTCATCTATATCATATTTAAGATGCCGGCGGCATTGACTCCAAGGAAATATCGAAAGTACCTCCCACAAACTTCTGTCGTGCAGTCTATCACCTCTTAAATCGCACCAAAAAGGAACTAACTTGAAATTGGCCCCCCCCCCAAATCAGCACACCGAACTGAAGGGCTCAACCTCTAAGACCGGCTTGACAACGCGGGGCGACGCTTCGCTCCGCCCGCGCCAGGACAGCGAACTCCTGCTGCGCGAGAGCCGCGCCGAGCAGAGCGCCGAGGTGGCGCTCAAGGCGCAGTTGGCGGAGGAGCGGCGCAAGGCCAAGGCCCCGGCGAGCGGGCGAAGCACCAAAGGGTGCAGGGATGCAGTTTGGGGGAGGGGGGGGGTCAAGGTGTAAAGCAAAACACGGCGATGAGAGCGTGTTTCGGAGGTTTCCGGCGTGCTAAGTGGTTTTCCAAGTCGAGATGATCCACAATGATATGTTCATCAATGGATGGTATTTGGTGCTGCAGGTACTTACTAGCGATGGTGATGAGACGTTTTCGAGGGTATGCGACCGCCCCAAGAGGCCTTTTCAGGTTCTGAGCGCCTTTTTGTTGAGGAAGGTTCATGTGAGCCAGAGAACTCAACTACCCGAGCCTTGGGCGAACTCAACACCTACTAGTACCTTCCTGAGCAGGTGACCTGCCAAGTGTGGCAATCCTTCAATGGAGCTCACCCACCCAAATGTTCATTTTTTTGCCGCGTGGAGGGAGATCATTTTCGTGCCTTATTTGTGCCCGATCTACAATTACATTCTTTTGGTAACCATGGTTTTGCTTGGGGTGATTGCTATTTACCGAACTGTGTGAATCCCCTTAAAATCTACACATTTTTGCACCAGCAATTCCAAGGTAAAGGCCTTCACTTTTTGGCTTTTCGGTGTCGCTCCTTGGTCTAGATTCTCACGCCCTTCTTTTGCCAGGAACAATTGGAAGTCCAAGAGCAGTTGGAGCTGAAGCTGAGAGAACGTGCCTTTGGCAGCCAGTTCAGCACACCCAGGGGGGCACCCAGTTCACCTTCAAAGACCGCGTGTTCACGTTTGGTTGTTGGTAGGTGAAAACGGTTTTTCCGGGTTTAAGTGGACGATTGCTTTTAGGACGATGACGATTGCTTTCTCGTTCCAGTGTTTTCGTTCCCGCTTCTGGGATCGGAGATGGGAAGAATTGATGGGCTTTCGTTCCATGCTGGGAGAATCCAACCCATGCACATGTCGGGATATGCCAGCACTGTTGGCCCTGCACTGATCAACTACAAGACTGTCAAGCAAACACAGCTGGTGTGTCAGCAAAATTATGCGAACAGGAGATAACAGGAGGACCTCCGTGACATTCCGTGACCAACAAGAGCGATGCAGTTTCTATTCACAAGGCTGAGGAGCCGTTGAGAAGCTTGTATGCTTTTTTCTTTGGGGGGACTCACTTCCATCAGACACCTGTACTGCAAGAACGCATGTTGCACCACCCATCGAGGATGTTTTAGCATGCTTCATCATCATGTCTTCCGTAGTTGTTCGGCATGTGTCGCTTCAGGATGTTTAGCCCAGACCGCAGTGGTTCTTTGTTTTTTGTTTGCCATACAAGCACTTGTGTCAAGTCGTTTGGTCTTGTAGAAAGTCGTTTGGATGTTGCGTTTCCATTGGGGTTAGATGCAAGATGGCAATATAATTGGAAGAGCATTAGGTCAACAACATTGTTTGGATGCTGCGTTTCCATTGGGGTTAGATGCAAGATGTCACCCTCATTGGAAGATAAGCTTTGGAGTGTCAGTTCAACACCATTGTTTGGAGCTCGAGCATCAGTGGAACATCTTATGAACAATAGGTTGATTTCTTGCAACGATGACAGATTCAGGGCAAGCATATAGTCATATTCAACATGCTTCGTCGGTTGTGGGATTGTTGTATTTTTCTTTTTGCCTTTCACTCACATGGCATGATTGGCTCAAATATTCTAGATGGAAGACCATGTTCATGAAGGTCATCAATGCACAGCTCTTGAAGAGCAAAGCCAGCAGGGCAGCATGGTTGAGCGCCTGGCAAAGCAACCGCAACAAGCGGTTTGTCACCTTGACGTTGCCGGACCAGAGCAAGTAGAAAAGATTCGGGCAGTCTCAGCATGCTGCATCTATGTTTAGGGGGTAATCTTCACGATAGTCCTAACCTTGCGTTCTGATTGGGGTTCGGTCACCAAAACGCTGCAAACTTCGACATAAAACTAGTTCTTTCCTGCACAGGGACAGTGAATTCTTGATGTATAGCAGTTTTGACAAACATACTTCCGTAGAGCGTTTACATTGTGTTTTAACATGAAACGGGTCACTTTTCGTGAGCCGGGTGACTTTTGACATCTTTTGACTAATGCAGCGTTTCCATGCGGCCGGGTGACTTTCTGCAAACCCGGGTGACTAAACCCCAGCAGTAACCCCAGCGCTAGTACCATTAAATGCATGTATAACCGCCGCATGAGTGGTGTTTCTACTGAGCTGTTTCCCTTCAAACCACTGAACTCACCCGAAGTTCCGTGGCTTCAGGCGAAGACGAGCTCCAGGCAGCACAGCGGCGGGCCGAGCAGCGCGAGAAGGTGCACGCGCAGCGCCTCGGCAGAGCTGGAGACAGGATCAACTAAACGTGGAGAGCTGAGTTAGCTAAGTGCTTATAGCTAAGTCGTTAACCTGGAGTCAAGCTGAGTTAGGCTATGTGGTTCGCAAAGTGCTTACAGCTAAGCGCTTAGCCTGAAATTGCTATCTCAAGTCAAACCCTGTTGAACAATGGACATTTCACATACACAAGCAACAATACCAAACATAGCTTCCTCATATGAAGGCAAACAAGGTTTAATTATGAGCTGCCAGTAGAAAGTGCCAACAAACAGTTTTGTTATATATTTTAGGGGCTCAGGACTCCTTGCCGTAGCGGGCAGCCGCTTTCGGCTGGTAGTGGTTAGTTGGTGTTGCGGTTGCTCCTGTGTACAACCGGGGTTTGGCTCAAGAGGCCAAGCCTGACAGAGGCAACACACGCAAAACTTGTGACCAGCCCCAACCATATCCACCACTGCAGTGAAGGTTGTCCCACCCGGAAGAGTTGCAGCAGCTTACTGAACATAGCTGACAGGACTATGTACATCCCGGCAACACACTGCGCTGTGCCGCCGCGCTGCCGGGCCGCTGTGCGCTTTACCCACGGCAGTCAAGCCAGGGGTGCCTGAGCCGTTCACTTTGCAGCTGGCAACTGCCCGCACCAACCATCCTTACCCCAGACAATGCGCCGAACTCGACTTGCCAAGTGCTTTAGCTGGCACCTTCATTCCTTCCTTCCTTCCTTCCCTCCCTCCTTCCTTCCCTCCTTCCCTCCGTCCCTCCTTCCCTCCTTCCCTCCTTCCCTCCTTCCTTCCTTCTTTCCTTCCTTCCTTCCTTCCTGCAGTTGCTTCCCATCACACTGTGCCGGCAGAAGCGCGGTGCTTTACCAATCCCTTGAGCTGAATCTTTTCATCAGCACCAGTCCTGATGAGTCAACTCACAGCCTTTCCCACCTCAATGTCCGCCAGCATTTTCCCAGCTAGCCAAGCCCCATTGTGATGCACCACTCGTCTTCACTCCAAGGCATGAGTAACTAGCTTTTCTTGTCTTTCCCGTCTGCTTGTCTCGAAACGAGCCAGGCAGCCTTTCCCACCGTTCCTTCGAACCGTTTGACCGCTGTTCCTCCGCTTCGGAGTTGGTCGAAGGACCATGCAGGCAATGTACTTCAGTCAAAATCAGCCGATCCATTGTGCATCCATGGTGCATCCGCGCCACTGAATCCTTTGGTGCGCCGAACCACACACCCCCACACACACCTTCTCTCAACTTTAGAACAGGTCGCTCAAGCCCAACGCAGCTTTTCTACGACTGCAGCAAGGTATTAAATGCCTAGCTTTCGTCCCCCTTGGGACTCTTCAGGGCTTTGCAGCCGCAAATGCTGCGGTGATCAATCACATGCCTAGGCATCGCGCATTCAATAACCTAGGCAAGTGCAAACTGGACATGAAAATTTTTTTTGGTCCCTCCCACAGCCAAACCCTTAGACCAAAAATTGCCAAACTTGCTTGTACCGACTTTGGAACAAGCTGCGCCCAACGCTCCAGCTTGTGGTGAGTTTCAATGCTGGAACACTTTGGCGCAGCAATGGCTCAAATTGTCGGAGCTTTTGAGAAACCCAACTGGCAGAAATGTCTTTGTTGTATGGCAGCTTCAAAAAGGCTTTCCGTACCAAACCAGGTGCAGCATGCCTTCTCATCCGCTTTGCTCTGTAGCGAGCTAACAAACGGTCAAAGCCAGCAAGGTCAAAGCCCCTATCTTTCAAACAACGCCTGAAAGACCGAATGCTTGCAGCATAGTCAGAAAAAAGGCGGTTCCGCCTTTCACATCTAATCGCTCCTCCTAACTGCAGGCTTGCAAAAGTACTGGCAGGGTGATTCGAAAAAGCCGGCACATAAAGATACAGGTTCTGGGGTTTCTCAAACAGCTTCCAATGCACACGGCGATTGGGCAGAATGCTGAGGTGAAAGTCCAAAAAGGGAACTTCCATTTCACCAGAAACCTGAAACTTCAGCGAAGGATGCCAACCTTCCGCCTTTTCAACCAGACTTTGCACGTCACCAGCCCACAGAAGCAAAAGATCATCAATGTACCTTCTGAGGATCTGCAAATCGCAGCCACACATTCGTGACATGTATCGGTCAAAGTGCCATAAGTAAATGTTTGCAAGAATGCCAGCAACTGACAAACCTGTTGGAATGCCATCTTGCGCCTCAAACAGAAGCCCTTGAAAAGAAACAACGCAAGCTTCCAGCACCAACTCCAAAGCTTTGACAATGAAGTCTCCCAACGCTGAATGGTTAAATGATTGCCTCACAAAAGGGCCCACAATAGACATCAAATGCTTCCTATCCACCGAAGGATACAGGTTAACAATGTCAAGCGTGACAAATCTCATAGCGGCATCACACCGAAGCGGTTTCAGCTGCTGCAAAAGTTGGTCTGAAGAAACAATGACAGAGTCCAACTGAGGCATAAGTGGCCCCAAACGCTCCACCAAAAAAGTTGAAAAAGGTCCATACCAACTGTTACGTACATTGCAAATTGGCCTGGAAGAAACTGGTTGCTTGTGCACCTTAACTAAAATGCGGAAGATTCCAACAGCACTTACCTGAAACTTGCTGAGTAGAAAATCCCGCTCAGCCAAAGAAAGCACACCAGAAGAAAAGAAAAACTGCACCATGGCATCAGCGCCGAACTTTAGCTAAGCAACTTTCTTTTGCAACTCCACCGGACTCAACTGTACATATCCCTGAGTCAATTGAAGTTGAACTTGTTCAACAAGCCATGACCGAAGAACTAAACAATCTCCGAGCCCTTTGTCGCAATCCACAACTGCAACCAAATCCGCATGTTGCCGCAACCAGGCCTTGGCTTTTCTGTCAAACCAAGACTGATTGGATTTGAAGGTCTTAGGTTCAAACTGGGTCAGCTCATGAGAGAGTAACCGAACGAAGGCGTCAACGCCTGCACTGCCTGGTGGCTGCCACGCGCTTTTCAAACGACATTTTGACACGCACGCAGCATTTCATTGAAAGACTCTGCAAAGAAGCAACTGCCGCTTCAAAGCATCCAAGCCCGACAAAATGTCTTTGACATGGGTAGCTTTCCTTGTAGGAATGAACTTGCCACTTCTTGCAACATGCAGGAGGACAAACTTTGGGACACAAAGCACATCTGAAGGAACTAAATTGTGAACTCCTTTGTAAGCCTGCCTGTGCAACAAAGAATAAAAACGAGCTCTGAAAGTTTGCACGACACAGAACTTGTAAAAATCAATGCTACAGCAGTCGGCGTCTTGCCAGTAACACCGGCCTCTTTTACGATATGCTATTTTCGCTTCTGCTTGCCCTTGCCTTTGCCTTTGCCTTTCGCTTTCTCTTTGCCCTTGCCACCACTCTTCCCTTCAAAACTGACTCTCTTTGACGAAGTTCTCTCACCACTTGACGATCTTGCTGGCTTCGATGGAGAACGACTTGCAGATTTCAGAATTGAACGGGGAGTGCTAGAACCTCTCTGCTGGCTTCGCCCTCTAATCTTCCCAGGGACTTTCTTAGGAGTAGGTGCCCTTTTGGAAGAACGGGCCGCTTCTGAGACAATTTTCACATTGTGTCTTCGACAAAGCTCTTCATTGTCCTTCACCAGAAAGGCCAGGGCTGAATCTTCCTTGATTTTGCATGACCTTTTTTGCTTTGCATCCAAGAGTTCAAACAACGCTGGAGACAAAACATCCTTCACGTCCATCTCTTCCCACTTGCTCTTTGCTTCTAAAAGCACTTGCTCTCGTTTTTGCTGCTGCTCTTTGTCTTTGGCCATCCGTGTTTGTATTTTGGGCCTAGTGGCTCGAACAAAGGACTGCACAAACTGACAAGCCCTTTGTTTCAAAACTCTCTGTACCTCCAAGTCATCAAACGCCTGCTCCGCAAACCAGGCATCCAAACGATCAGTCAACTTTTGCTGCAAAACCGGCAAGGAAACCTGCATACAAAGCAACACACTGCTTCTGATGCTTGCAATTGAACTCGAAGCATTCTTCAGCATGCCTGCGCCTCATACGAGCCCAATCCTCTGCAACATTGTAGCCATCTTCCACCATGTCTTGGTCATCAGACACTGGTTGAGCCTTGGCTAAGTACAGCTTGGTCCACTGCCATTTGTAATCAGCCTCGGCTTGTAAATGATTGTGCAAACGTCCTTCCTCATTCAACTTGGAGTACTTCTCAAACAACTTCTTCTGCGTTCCCAGGCTTCAAACACGTGTTTAGCTTCTTTCTCAAAGTCCAGAAAAACTTTCTGCAGGGCTGGATCTACTCCCTCAAGCAATTGAGTGTGAGACTGGAACAATTTGCTTTGTGCAACTTCTTGGACACTCATTGCTTCAGAGCGAGCTTGCGAACTCTGCACCTGAGACTGGAGCAAAGCAACCTGCTTCATTAGCAACTGATTCTGCTCCAGCAACAGCATTTCGACTCCATTCCTTGATCCTTCCAGACTTGGAGCTCTTTCTCTTCCAGCAGCTGTGAAACGAGACGGGGCAGGTGTTCTTGGTGAATCCCTGCCTCTTGGAGCAACAGTGAGATCATTGGTAAAAGCCGCAATCCCTGAACCGCACTGAGCAGAACTAGCACCTGCCACCCCAGCAGATGCCAAAAGCCCATGGCTCAAAAGATCTGACATGGCGAGCGCCTCAAGTTAGCAAAGCACAACTTTAGAACAGGTCGCTCAAGCCCAACGCAGCTTTTCTACGACTGCAGCAAGGTATTAAATGCCTAGCTTTCGTCCCCCTTGGGACTCTTCAGGGCTTTGCAGCCGCAAATGCTGCGGTGATCAATCACATGCCTAGGCATCGCGCATTCAATAACCTAGGCAAGTGCAAACTGGACATGGTGCATCCGCGCCAGTGAATCCTTTGGTGCGCCGAACCACACACCCCCACACACACCTTCTCTCCTGGTCTTCTTTCATTTGTTAGGTCTTTTCTCGAGGCTTTTTAAGGGTTGCTTTTCAGGCTCGTTTAGTCGATCACCAACCCCCCACACACACAAAACCTTCGTTTCGTTCTCTCCTGTTTGTTTTTTTCGGCCTTTCTCTCTTCTAGAGGCTTTTTAGGTTTGTAACCAGGCCTTTTCGGCAAGTGTGCGCCGGATTAACGGCGGTTTGTGTGTGCGTGTCAAACCCTATCAAGGATTTTCAATTGTTTAACGACATCAGCAGAGACCAGTCTTCCTACGTTGCCCAACGAAGCTACGGAAGACTGGTGGAAGCATTCAGGGACGCCTGAAAAGTGCACCTGCATCTGGATTCTGAAACCTACGCAAGGACAAAGCTTGTGTTGCAGTAAAGTTCTAGCGCGCTCGTCTAATGCAGCAACGTAAAGGGCTAATGCACTCTGTTTCACCTTAGTTAAACAATACTATTCTTCTGACTCATCGCCATCCCGTTATGCGAGTCAAGGTCTACTGCAGTAAACTAAAGCGCTATAGTGCAGCGGTGAGCCAGTTTCTGATTGAATACTCGACCAGCCGAGTTCTCTATCTACGTGTGTGTGTGAGGGTGGTTATACCGTATTTTTTTGGGGGTCACCTCCTTGCATAGACCATCACATCTTTAAAGTAATGTTCTCCCAACATTGAAGCAGTTCACTTGGCTTTGTGGTGCACAACTTGCTATGTGTTGCTCACCGGGCCCGGAGAATGCCGGGCCCTCCTTATAGAGGTAGTCCGGTAGTACCCTCAAACATGTTGTTTGATTGTAACTATTTAAGTGCCTTGGGGGTTGGGTTTTTGCTTTGCTTAGTATCCTGCCTTCAATCTGCTTACTCTCACTTCGTACCCTCAGAACATTGAAGGACAACCCATGAAAATATGTGTGAAGTGGGACCACCTCATTCCTGTCACAAAAAGATCCAAAAATACTGGCTGCTGCTGCAGAACACACTGAGGCCGGAGGCCCACGAAATCGAATGTGATATAATTTGATGGATTTCTTCTGGGTCAGCATAGGGTTCCAAACTGGCATTTCCAAGTAAAAACAAACACGAAAAGGAGAGTTGAAAAAAACACAGAAACCACTAAGTCAAGTCAGTTGAAGTCGGTCAAGGTGCTAGCATTGCTTGAAAGGGCGGACCTTGGTTCTCTTTAATACTGGCCGTTGTTTGGAACCAAGGTTTTCATCGCCGGAACACAGTGGTTTGCCGAACCCAGGCTCCCGGCTCGTTCGGCCTCGTTCCACACCGCGCGGACGTCCGCTCCCGAGGCAACTGGCTGAGCTCAAAGAACGGCTCCAAGAGTTTTACGAGGCGCGCACGTTCGAGGGTTCGGAACTCCGCGTCACCGGTCCAGTGGTCCGGCTATGTAGCTTGATGGGGGAACGCCCCCGACAGATGGAAATGTGTTTAAAGACCATTCCGGTAGTGGGGATGATTCATAAAGCGACTAAGTGTATTTAATTATAGGTCATTCTCCGCCCCCACACTTGTAAAGGAAACCAGGCCAGATCTTGTGACTTGCGAGTCCTTCCCACTTTTTTGAACAACACCAATTAAGAGACAGGACACTTAGTTGGGCTTTTGGACAGACATTCTGGATTCTGTGTGTCTTTGATTATCTCCTCTTGGCGTCTTGCATGTTTTTTGCTAAGAAACTTGAATTTTGGTGCCAGCAAAGATTTTGCCCTTCAATCGATACCAATTAAACCAAAAAAACTAGTCTCCCTTTTACTTGGAAGTTTCAGGTGCAGAAGTGAGCAACAAACACGGGACATCACTTCGAATGTCATGTGTGTGTGATTTGTGGTGAAGCACGCCAAGGCCGGAGAAGGCAATCTTGTGTTGTTGGAGATTGGGTGCCTCCCTTCGCGTTCTTGGGCACCTTTTTGCCAGCGAGTGGGTGCCTTCGAAGCCCCTACAGTTAGTCCATTATAGTGGATTGGCAGAAGATGGCACAATCCCTCGCTGACAGACATCTGAGGGTTTGTGCCATTTACTCTGAAACGGGTGTATTTACGCATCAACCATCCACACGTCCACTCTCCCATCCCGCCATACCATCCATCCCGAGCACGGAGGCGCAGCACCAGCAAGAGGTCAAGGAGCTGATCGTTGCAGCGGCACAGGAGGTGAACCTGTTGCCCCGACCAGATGACCTTGGGCGCGCGCAGAAGACCTCGGGGCCAGGGAAGGAAGATGCGAATGACGAGGCTCGGTCGAGAGATCGTGGGGAAATGATGAAACAGGTGGGGTGGAGGAGGGAGGGGGGATCATGTTCCTTTTTGTTTTGCTGGGGATATTGTTTTGCATTTTCAGTTTCTATATTTTTTGGGGGGTCCGGGTAGGGCATTGGAAGTTGACAAGTTGAGAGCAAGTGTCACAGCATCTCATATCTTGAGTCGGTGCCTCCTCCTTGCTTTCCTGCCTGACATGAAGGGTGGTTGCTCCGTGTTTTTCCTGCACATCAGACTGGTGTTTGACATATCCCATGGCACTCCTGGTATTTATCGCTCTCTTTATATATTAAGATGGTGTTTTCTTAGGGCATGTTGTTTTGGCGATTCCCTTCTAAGGAATCTCTCTTGTTGTATGAGAAGGGCCATTTCCTTGATCAATCAGTAAACTTGATGATGGGTGGCCATGGCCCCACATCTTCCATCACTGCAGCATGCTCCGCTCCCATAATGCCCGTACCAGGCCCCGTACTGGGCGTTTGAGATCCATACCCGCAATGTTACACATGGATGGCCTGCAGATCTATGGTTTCTTTTCCATATGGACTTTACTGGTGTTTGTTCTTCCCGTTTTCCTGGGGTGGTGTGGTGAGCCTTGGTACGTTTGTTTGCTTTTGGAGAACGCGCGAGCCTTGTGCGTTTGGACATGTTTGGACCCTCATTCGTTCGTGCCGGAACTCACCTGCGGAGACGGGACAAAGCCCGAGGAACGACCTGCCGATGTGATGATCACATGGGGGAACCCCCAATTCGTGGCCGTTACTGGCCGAATTGGCCCACCGTCAAAGCTGGCTCATGCACCAGATATATACCTGGACCCTCCTGTCGGGGTGTCCGGGCTGGACTGCCCCACACTACCTATAGGCTTCCATTGGGCACCCCTTGGAGGGTCCTGGTATGTATATAGACTCTTGGAACTTGGTCACTTGATGTAATTTGGTCGGGGGGAAAGGCAGAAACTCCCACGGTTTTTTCTTGAGATTTCTTCTGGTGAGAGGCGAGAGGGGCATGAACATGTGTATTAACAAGGTGCCACCCTTTGTCCACCCCTTCTCAGTTTCCTTGTATCAAGGTACACATGCTTTTCCGGATCGCCACGGCTCCAGGAGATGGATGCTCGACACGACTCCGCCGAACTGCACCGTCACGATGCGCGCCAACGGTTCTTGTCCCCCTCGCTGCTGTCGAGTGCTGAGCCCAACAGTGCAGAGCTCAGCAGCTTTATTCTGGAGGAGGCGAGGTTCACCGAACGGCATACCCAGACACGATGGGACTGGACCCCAATGTGCCTCCATGGGACCCCTCAAAACACCCCAACTGATCAGCAAATAGATGCACATATGGCGTATATGGAGTGTCTGGGATGAGGAACGACATGGCGGCCCTCATCAGCTTTAGTCTGGAGTCTCAAAATACCTTCGAAAATGGGTAGGAGCACGACCATGGGTCCTACCCACCGTTTCGCTTTGATGCAAGATGTTGAATGTTGGTCCAATCATCCAATCCTACTTGAGATTGCTTGTTCGATCGCACTGTGACATGGCCAAGAATATGTTCAGACTTGTTAAAGACTCACCTGAACATACTGAACGCCACTCAGCTGCCAGACTATCACTCTGGAAAGCCGGCACATGTTGCTAATTCACAACCTCGTTTGGGATAGGCAAATAGACATTTGTTGCACTATACACGTACACTATCTAGGTTGCTTTCAAGCAACCATACAATCATTCCTACAAAAGATAGAACCAGCCACCGGCGGATGCTCCTCTTCCTTTGCTCCCGCTTGGCACCCGCGGTCGCCTTCCGCGGAGGCCAACAACGCCGCAGACATCGCCCGCTCCGCTGGGCTCTTGGAGTGTTCACCGCTCTCGGCCACTCGACGGAGTACCCACTCGGCCAGCTGAGTGAAGCTGAGTGAAGCTTCGAGCGAGTGACGCCGGCGCTGGCGCCTGAGTGTTCGGTGAGTGAAGCCGGCGTCTTTGGGTCGCCCAGTGCGAACGGTCTTTTTTGCGCCAGTGTCGGGCGAGCGGGGCATGGGGGGCCAATGTGTTGCGTGAATCGAGTTCTTGCCCTTGCAATGTTTGGGAAAGTGGGTTCCAAGATATGTTCCAAGTGATCTTGACATGTTATGAATTCTGAATTCGGTGTTTGGTGTCTTTTTTGGGGGAGGAGGGGGATGACCACATAGATCAGGAGTATTTGTTCAGGTCAAGCATGAACCTTTGCTGTGAAAGCCATCCCAGTATGGCATAATGACTTGATTAATACACCCCCCATTTGAACTGCAACACCTCTTCTCATGATTCGGAAGGGGGTTGGAGTGGTAACACTCGCACACCAGCCCTGTTTAGTGCTTTTGTGACCCACTACATCTCACCCTCTCCACCAGCCAGGTGTATTCTCCCTAGGGCTCCTGGCCCACCTCCTGAGAAGATGCTTGGGGTGGGTGCCAGGAGGGGTCTAACCACCGAACCTGAGGAGATGGGCCAGGAGCCCTAGGGTCTATAGAACTCGAATTCGGCTCAGCCCCGTCTCGACCATGGCGAGCATCCGTTCGTCGGATGAAGCCGAAACCCAAGGCATGTGATCCAAAGTCGGACCAACTACGAGGCTCCTTGCTCTCTTCTTTGGCACCCTGGCGCGGTCAATTGGATACATCTGGGTGGAACACACGCAGACAGACGGGAGACGTGCATCCGATTCACCATCCCACCGAGGCACCTTCCTCCGAAGCACCGCTCCTCGAGCCAAGCCCCACCGAGTGCCTTGGGCGTAGAGGCCGCGCGAAGCGGTCCATGGTTGGGGGCGCAACAGGTGCGGGAGCCTGTTGAAAGGACTATAGCAGCCTGGGACCCAGCAGAGAGGCCGCGGCCAAGGGGGAGGGAAGTTGCGGGGGTCAATGTATAGTAACCTATAGTAACTATATTCCATAGATGAGGTGGTAAAGTGTTAAGGATGTGTCACCCCAAGACACTCCCACCACCATTTGGGACAGTGTGAAGGACAAGACGTCCAATGGTGAAGTGGTCAATGTGAGTGTTCTGCAGGTCATTTGAAAATGAAGATTGGCGACAACGCAACAGAATGGAGAATGTTCGAGCGTCTCTATATCGTCTCTATATATTCCCAAGGAACTGAAGAGATAAGGACCGGCTTCTGGTGGTCCATTCCTACGACTGGGAATGTTCTGCGGGGGTGCTGAAGCAAATTGAACCAATCAATCGCCCATATTTTATAATGTGATTCATTATGTGATCGCCAACCAGCATCAGTTTGCACGCCGCAGGCCTTCCCACGTTTGGTGGCCCAAACCTTGCATTCCGAGTGCTAAAGGTTAATGCCGAGGTCAACAAGGTTTGAGATTGGAGGTATTGGAGACCACATCCCCTTAACAAAGGTGATGCTTTGATGATGGATGATGGTCGTTGGGATTCTGTGCAAACCATGAAGCCTGTGTAATGAGTACCCTTTGTGAGCTTGAACACCTTAAGATGTTGATAGAGTTTTTAATAAGGTCAAATTAAAGACGTTTTTGCTAGAGAGTTTTCAGGGATTGTGGAACAATGGAATAAATAACCATCGACTATATATTTATTCCAATAGTAAACTAAGTTTTCACATATATTTTTCTGGGGCTGCCAAGGAAAACATTATTACTATTAGTAGGGTGATGGACATGTGGAACTCAGGGTTTAAATTAGTTTAGTATTGGGGGCTGGAGCTCTGCTTGATTAGTAGGGGGAGGTTACTTCATCCTAGGTGCGCATTAATCCTTTTGCAACATGAGCATGTATTGGATATAATCTCATGTCATTTCCATATTACCCCTAGTAGGAGCCAAACCACCATTGATTTATTGGGTTTATTCGAACCAATCATGGGTCTATAACATTTAAGGGCTTCAGACATCTTCAGACAACGTAACCAGATCAGCCGACCTCTTCTAATGGTCGAACGGTTGGCCTATTTCTGGGGATTGGAGATGGCAGGCATCAACCTCTCCAGGTATTCCCCTGCATACCAGGAAACCCTTCTTGGTGTGGTCGTTTTGCGAAGCTCCCCCCGAGTGAAGGCAACAATCCCCGTTCCATAAACCGAGTGACCACGGGATTGGAAGACCATGGCGTAGCCTGTGTAGCCTGCAACAAATCGCAGGATGGCTTACTACAAGAGAATGCTAAGAAGTCATCCTGCGATTGCAACCCATCAGCGACCAACCGACCTTACTTCAAGACCAACCCATCAACGACCGGGCCCCAAAGGGGGGATGAACAAGCGCGAGCGCATGGGGGATCCGACGGCTGACGGCTGTCTCTTTCCCCCCAAGCCTGGGGCGAGCAAAAGACATTGTGACCGTTTTTCGGCACCAAATAATGAGAACATTCGAGTTACAGTGGGTTTCAGACTATAGATGGCACAACTCCTGAGAAAATCCAGACCACCGCAACTGATTCAGGGATATTCGGAGCTTTGTGCCATCTACTTAGAAACCCAGTATGTGCCATTTGCGACTCGCCATTCTTCCGGTATGACGAGTCTATTATCCAAGTATCCTCATCTCAAGCGTCCGTGTTTTTGGTGAATTGAAGACCTGTACTCCGCTCTCACTCGCAACCCACGCCTGGTGGAGTCACACCGATTTACCCTGTACAAGTGACCCATGCGTATAATACGATTTACCCAGACACAGGACCCATCCATGTCATACGACTTACAATTTACCCCATGTAGCATCCATGTCCAACGATATATCCGATACAAAGGACCCATCCATGCCATGTTTAACAAACAAAAACTACCAGCACCTTCCAACAGGTCTCCGAAATGGAGGCTTTTGTAGACTTCAGGGCGTCGCAGGTGGTGACCTGTTGGAAGGTCCTGGTCTCCCAGCCCGCGCCGCGCTCGCTCGCCCAGGAGCACCCTGAGCGCCGCCCTGGCCCCACGCTCCCCGCCCACGGTGGCGGCGCAGCACTCGGCGCCCAGTGCGCCGGGCACTGGTAGCAGCCTCGCCTTCAGCAGCAGCGAGGGCTCGCAGGCCACGCAGATCCATCCGGATGACCCCCCCAAAAAACGCCCGTTCCGCCCGTTGGGGCGGTTCGTGGGGCGTTTCGTTGTTTGGGACCTTGTTGATGTCACAGAGGTTTTGGGAGCCTCAGACTGAGCCTCAGAACTATGCAGGGTGCAAATCATGCGTAAAAACGAGGCTGATTTCCATGTCTTCAAGTTCCTTCCTAGCTGCTTAGCTGCTTCATGGAGTTGAATTGTTCGATGTACCGGAAACTCACTCGGTCGGCCAAGTCTATGTGTACTAGACCCTCGCCTGTTTTGGGTAGAGGTTTCCCTCCAGGTGTTCCGGTGTTCCTGGAGAAAAATGGAGAACAGGCATTTTGGACTGTTCAATCTCTTCCAAATGATTCGAATGATTGAAATAAGAACGAGTTCTGTCATCTCCAGAAGGGGTGCTCTTTTTGTAGGAAGCGCGGAGGCAAAGAATTCAAAACAGCCACCTCGCAAAGGAAAATCCTATTGATTTCACATGATTTCACTCGAGGTGACTGCTTGGCTGAAACTTTGCAAACAGTTGTTAGGGTAGTGCTCCCCAAATAGATCGTGGCACGGTTTCCAATAAGTACATCGTGAAAAGGGATGGTATACCTTTCTATCTAAATTTGGGGGTTAGTTGGTAGACCATGAAAACAGCACAATCGTCATATCATCATCATACCAGCACCTTCAAAGGGGTCACCAATGGAAGCCCCTACACTATACGTATAGGGACCTCGATTTTTCACACCCCCTCCTTCAGGTCCAGGATACTAATCACCAGGAGCTTTGGGGGGAAAGCTTTGCAACCAAACCCTCCTCCTCCTCCACTTGGGCCCAGGGGGATCCTTGATGACCCGCCAGGTGACCCGTGGTCGGCCCCTGAGCCGTTCGCGGCCGCCGTCGCCCGCGGAGGAGGCGCCGGCGGAGACGTGAAGGTTTCGGGGCAGACCGGCTTGCTTCGAATCTCACGGTTGGGGTCATGAAATAGGGCGCATTTCATTTAAAACCATAGGGGTCATGAAAGAGATTCATAGTTTTATCATGTTGTGAAAACACTGTTTACGTCTAGTTAGTTTTCAGTTTGCCCTTCATGGTTTTCTCGCAAGCATCAAGAGCTTTGAGGCAATAGAGTGGTACTTTTTCCACGGTGTTGTTTTGGTCGGGTGTGCTTCATGTTAGTGTTTGGTCTCCTCAATGCTACGCACGAGGTGTTTAAGAAGGGGTTGTGAATCTAGCACCCCATGCCGGCTGCGAGTCAAAACCTGGAACCCCTGGCACCCTTGTAGCTTGACCTCCCAGTGTATTCCATTCAGAACATCGGTGGTCAACCCACATGGCTGCCGGTTTTCACCCACGTGCACGTGAAGATGTCGAATTCTCTCTATGTCAGTCCCTAAGGCGCCCCCCAGGTGCTTTCGATCGAATCGCCGTCCTTGGCACCATCAGCGAAGCAAGAGCCTTTCAAGCTTTATAGTAGACTGCATGAAAGAAGACACAGGGCTAAGTTAAGGAGGTGCGGTGTATCTTAAAGCCAACTGTACTTTTTAAGATGATCACCTGCGAAACTGGAAGGCCTTGGCAAGGTGGCAGGGGCGGTAGGCTGTGCGACCATTCGTGCATGAGGTAGGCTCAATAAGGGCCCTCCACGGCCAGGGTCGGACCCAGGACGCTTAGCAGACCCTCCAGACCCTCGCTGGCACCCCCACTGTGCTTGAGGGCCCGGATTCTTAGGGTACATTAGAATCATGGGATGCCTTTATTGGTCTTGGTGGACTCTGAGTGGACTCTGAGTTCCCAAACAGTCAAACTAGGGGTTTTGCTTCTATGAAAAAGGGTCCATGCAGGTCAGATGAAGGTTCAATCATATTCCAATCTCTCTCTCTCTATGCCTTTTTACATATATATATATATATATGTGTATATAGAATTATGTAGACATGCAGTGTGATGTCATGTGATGTATGTGTATACGAGAAATGCACTGGAGAGAAATATCTCTAAAGTAGAGCAGCATCCTTGCAAGGGTCATTTAGTACAGGTCCCAACCGTGATCCCGACCATGGTAGGTCCATCGTTTCTCTGATTCACACCAGCTGGGTGAATCAACTGACCTGGGCCGCCTGGTCTAGGCGCCTCCTCGTGGCTACGTGGCTGAGAAGATCATCTTCTTCGACCGCGGCGCCACACCGCCGCCCAAGGGCGGCGGCACCGCCGCGCACGTGCCCACACCCTTGGGGCGGCATGTGCTGCCACGGCCGGAGGCGCAATGGATGCGCTTCCCTCGCTGGGAACCAAAAAAGTTTGGCACTTGTTCATGGGTCCTATAGGTCTCCAAGTACCTGCTGAGAAGGTGTTTCGGGATCTTTGGGTGTGGGTTTGGAAGGTCCAAATACCTTCGTACGACAGGAGCGGTCCAGTGGCAAAACCAATTTCCACACCAATGATCCTGCAGCTTCTTCAACCAGGGAGGAGCCGGTTTGGATCATGTCCATATTTGACCCCATCAGTCCCATCAGATCCTCATTCTGAAGTCGTGCCCTCTCTCAGAGTCCCTATATATACCTGCTTGCTTCGCCACAGCCCACATCACCGCATCCCACACCACCAGAGATCTTCGCTTCACGTTTTTCGTGTTGGCACGACGGGCACGACGAGGCAGCCCGCAAGAGCCCTACGGTGGTTCCACAGGCGGGACCGCGGTCTCTGCGGTCTCTCACTGTTGTTGTCGCCGGTCCGTTTCAGGCGTTGTTGTTGTTGGTGGTGGTTGTGGTGGTGGTATAGTAGTACAATTGTTGTTCTTGTTTTTGTTCTTGTCGTCGTCATTTTTGAAAACAGTGAACACCCAGCACTTAACTGATGAGTGAGGCATTCAGGTTCCAAGGTTCCAACTGTTGTCCTCAGGAAGAACCATCCAAGTGACAAGTCCAAGTCCACGCCCAAAACGACCGGTCCCAAACATGTCGCCACTGCGCAGCCGTTGCCCGGTGCGGTCCCGGATTTTTCGGTAGGCACCGGAACCGGCGGCACCGCTGGAGCTGGTGGCCTCGCCACCCACCCACAAGGAGTGCCGAAGGCGGCTCTCATACCCTGAAGAGCCACCTGGGACGGGAAGGTAGCATCGCCAGAACGCGCCGATTCGGTGGGAGCGCCTTCCGAGAAGACGGCGACCGTTGGGGCCACGAGTAGTAGGGCAAAGTAGGGACGAGTCGCGTGTGGTACTTAGTAGATGTAGAACAGCCTGACTTGTTGGATTCGATATTGCACCGAATGGCAGTCCAAACAGTTCAGCCACATGTCCAACCACCCTGTTTGACATGAGATGGAGTAACGGATCAAACAGCAGGGCATCCGGAAGGCGAGTCCTGTTTGCATCAATTGGCTCTCTTCATGTTCAACGAAAGAACAATGGGCCGTGATGAATTACCGCAAGGCTTTCCCGTGGACAAGACTGAGTTGCCAAGCTTTACTAAGACTTAAACCCTAAGGACAAACACCAAGGGGTCACATGGAGTTGGGTGTTTTTTGGTTGCCAAGTGAGTGGATCATGGGCACCCGGACTTCCTCCAAGTTCGACACCCCAACATGTAACTGCACAATGAACCTTTTTGGGGTAGATTCACGCGTAGCGCGGTCCAGTTCTTCGGTCTGGTGGTTTTTGTTGTTGCAGACCTCGTGAATAACTGGTAGCAACATAATATACTATAGCAACCTCGCTCATAGGGGGCATGTGCTTAAATACGAAGTTAAAAAGGAATGCTGCATGCTCTTCATGCAACCCACCTGGCCCTGCTTTGGTTGGAACACTGGGCGAGTTTGCGCCATTTGTTCCTTTACAGTATATACATGGACAACGCGAGCGCGGAATCACCTATGATCGTTGATTCCTGTACCATCCCTGCAACTTTTGAGAGGCAGGGCATGCATGTACTGATCTTGTTGGTCTTGGCCACTCAATTCATGCCAACATCTGCCAACGTGGACAACGCCCGGCTCCCGGAAAAGAAGCGGAGCGGATCGAATCATTGAGACCGGTCCTGGTAGACGCTGTGTTGCTTCCATTTGACCGGTCTCCACCACCCTGGACTCTGTCCAGGGTCGGCGGTTGGTGCTTGGACTGGACAGTCGGTCGCTCCGTCGTCTGGCGACTTGGGTTTGAGGGGCATGGCTTGAAAAGCAGGTGACTTTTAAAATCGATGTGGCTTTAACTGCTCCTGTCCCAGCAGCCTTTGCTGGTTACCAATGCATCATTGCTTGGATTTGGGGATCGTCAAAGACCAAGGATCCTTCCACCTCTGGTTGGACCCATTCCACGCCTGCCACTTCATCCCGCTCTGTGTCACAAGTCGCAGGTGTCGAGGCTTCGGTGTCGAGGTACTGTCTATCGGGTCTCGATGTTTTCACTGTCCGAAAAGGTCATACTCAACCAGACCCTGAGAGTATCCCTTAGTTCAAGTTGTTTCGAACGTGGATCTATATAACTAACATCACTTAGCAAAGGATCAGGCTGGACAGCTTGGCCGTGTTTTGGCCCGTCATCGCAGCACCCAGCCGGCTGAGAACCGACCCGACGCGGCACCCAGCCATGTTCCGCTCCGGCCCGCCCTCCGGATCCCACAGCGGGGTCCTCCCCTCCGGATCCGCCTGCAGCCGTAGCCCATCTCTGTCCCCTGTCGCGGAACGCGTCGTGGGCGCGAACGCTCCGCGGAACGCGTTCCGCGCCTCGCTGACGCTGCTTCTCCGGACGGCCCGGCGGGCCCAAGGTCGGGCCCGCGCCTCCGGACGTCGCGGACCGGGCTTGAGTCGGTGGTGTCAGGGTCTCGGGCGGAAAGTGGCAGAGGTGTTGGACTTGAGGAGTTCCGAGGAGAACTTCTCGGAGGTTTTGAGGAGCTTCAGCGAAGAGAAGCGTTTTGAGCTCGCTTTGGCTTTCTTGGAGGCGCTCAGAGAAGATGGACAAATCGTCGTCGATGTGTCAGACTACACGGTGGGGATGTCATCATGTGCCAAGTGCAAGCTGTGGCAGCAAGCGATCAGATTGTTTCAAGTCATGCCTGAATCCAAAGTTCAGCCAGATGTCATTAGCTACAATGCTGCCATCAGTGCATGTGAGAAGGGCGGTCAATTAGAGCAAGCTTTGACATTGTTTCAGAAGATGCCTAGTGCAACAGTTGAACCAAACGTTACGAGTTACAATGCAACCATCAGTGCGTGTGAGAAGTCTGGCAAATGGGCGGCTGCATTGGCATTGTTTGACTTGATGTCCACGAACAAAATCCAGCCAGACATCATTAGCTACAATGCTGTCATTAGTGCCTGTGAGAAAGGTAGTGAACTTCAGAAAGCCTTGTTGTTGATTCACACAATGCCAGATGCACAAGTTTTGCCAGATGTTGTTAGCTACAGTGCGGCTATCAGTGCATGCGAAAAGGTTCGTCAATGGCAGAGTGCATTGGCTTTGTTTGCCTCCATGCCTACGGCAGCAGTGTGGCCAAATGTTATCAGTTGCAGTGCAGCTATCAGTGCCTGCGAAAAGGTAGGGCAATGGCATGTAGCGTTGGCCTTGTTTCGCATGATGCCGAGCGCAGCACTTCAACCAAATGTTATTAGCTACAGTGCTGCCATCAGTGCCTGCGAGAAGGGTGGAGAATGGCAGCAAGCGTTGGCAGTTTTTGAAGACATGCCCAGCGCAAGAGTTCTGCCAAACTTGTTTACTTACAACTCTGCAATCAGTGCCTGTGAGAAAGCAGGGCAATGGTTGATCGCCTTGGCTTTCTTTGGTTTCATCGCAGGAGCTGGACTGAGGGCAGATGTCATTAGCTACAATGCAGTCATCAGTGCTTGCGAGAAGGGCGGTGAAGTAGAGCAAGCTTTGACGATGTTTCAGGAAATGCAAAGGCAGCAAGTGCAGCCAACCGTTATTGGGTTTAATGTGGCCATCAGAGCGTGTGAGAAGTCTGGCAAATGGCAGACTGGATTGACACTGTTCGAATCCATGTCCAGACGACAAGTTCAGCCAGACGTCATCACTTACAACTACTCCATGATGAGCGTTTCTAGACACATGCCTCATCAAGAAGTGCAGATCTTGAGATTGTTTCAAGCCATGCGAAACGCGGAGCTTGTGCCAGATGTGATGAGCTATAACGAGGCGCTCCCTGCCGTGTTGGAAATGAATTAACAGCTGCTGGGAGACCCTTAAAAACCCTGGCCAAGCCAGAAACCCACTCTGGGAGCGGGTTTCACATGTAGGCCTTGCAGGTGGGACTGGGCAGGTGTTCGTCCACGTTCGTCCACGTTCGGCCACTCGTTTGGCTTTGGGTCAGGGCCGCACCGATGTGCTGAACTGAGACGGACGGTCAACCGACCAGACGACGGGAGGACTGGACGGTGTCCAGGACTGGACCGAAGCGCTTCGGTACGGCTGGAGGTGTAGGGTTGATGGTTGTTGGTCCATGGTTGTGTCTCTCTCTCTCTCTCTCTATCTCGTTGTTTTTGTCCTTTGGATGGCTCTCCCCCCTTGAGAGGTATGGCCCCATGGCACCGCACTGAGCTCAGAGAGAGCTCAAGTCTGGTTCGCGAAAGCCAGTGCTCAAGTCTGTTGGATCCACTTCGACCGATCAACGAATCGAGAAAGACTCGGCCTCAATGCTCCGGCTTTACTGGTGACGATCAAAACTATGCCGGAAAAAATCCAAGGCCCTCAGAATCACCGAATTCCGAAGTTGGAAGATGTTGGCCAACTAATCAGATAAAATGACTCTCAGATTTGAGGTTGGCCAGACTTAAATCATCGCGAGCAGTGCTTGCTTCCGGCTGTTCACAAGATAAAAGCAGGTTATCCGATAAGCTCGCCCAGCTAGAGCCTTTTTAACAGAGTGAACTACGCTCCGAGTCCGCAAACATGGAAGTGAACAACTAACCTGTTTAAAGAGCAACATCGTTTTCCAACCAGTCCGGTCTATTGTTCATTTCCATGACGAAGCAACGTCCGGTTCCACTTAAACCGGTGTCCGGTTTCAGCTGTGTTCGCCATGGCCGTGTCCAGTGAGTGGCCGATGTCTCCCCACCAAAACCATGTTCCACTCGAACATGTGCTTCTTGGGTTTTCTATGGACTTGGGACGTGGACAGCGGCGCTCACCCCTCTTGGAAATTCAGCGAAACCCTGTGGATCCATGGAGATCCGCCAGTTTAAAGGGAGCAGCATGTTGCATCCAAGTCTAGGTCTAGGCGAGGGTATTTCATGAATAGTGCTGCCAGCCCAGCCCGAGAGGCGGGACGGGTCACGGGTCAAACGACCGCCCTACTCGCGTGCCCCGCGGGTCACCTAGCCATTTGGTGACTCATGGTGACCTCCTAACTTCGGTAGTGTTTGGTGGTTGAATTGCTCCAACTGACGAGTTCTTCACAGCTTGGCGAAGCTGACGAGTTCTACACTGAAAGAAGAACATGGTCACCGACAGGTGGCACCATCTTGTGGGGTCGGAACGTGGAGGTCCATCTGAGTCAGGCCATGCCATGTTCATCATGTCACCCAACAGGGGCCGGTGGGGGCCGTGCTTGTCGTTTGTTGAAAGACAGGGCCGACCCTCGGGGCCGTGCCACTTCGGAGCTGGGACCGGGTCCGTTTGGATTGCAAGACCAACCGCCGAAGTGAGGAATGGGGAGCGTTCCAAGTGCCGGTCACTTGTGGGTCACATGAGCAGCACATGAAGAGGTCACACATTGAGGCCCTGTATAGGGGCCCATTGAGGCACTCCCATTCAAGGTCACTTTGAAGGAACTCTTTGCGAGAAAAAAAGCTCGCCCTGAAATACGTGACCGCTGCCATTTGCTGCCCATCAGTTTCACACCCATTGTCTTTTTTGTTCTTTTTTCCGCCGCGCAGGTGCGGCCAGTCAATAGCAGCACAACGGTCCATATTTCAGGTTGAATGCTGTGAGGTCAGCCCTAGGTCCAAGTGCGAAAGAGATGTCAAGATTCCGTGTCCCATGGTTTTGATCATCCAATGATCTACTAAAGACCAAGCATTGGCAAGAAGGTTGTGGCCTCTTCATGGTCTTGTCAATACATTGAACTTATTATAGAAGTTTAGAAGGATGGCACTGGCACATAAAGAACGCCACATTGCTCTTGGCACAACACGGCTCTTCAGAGCCGCTTTGAACACACCAATCGAGCCCGGCCGCTTGA